TTTTTTCTATATATTATGCAATTAATATATTGGCCAATTAATTTCTTTCTATTTTTAGTAAACGGGTTTCGCTCTTGCTGGTTTTGAACTCCTGACCTCGGGCAATGCACCCGCCTTGGCCTCCCAGAGTGCTAGGATTACGGCGTGAGCCACCCGCCGGCCATACTCTCAGCCTTTCGATTCTGACACCAACCGCCATGCCCTTTGAGATCAGTGGCCCACATAAGGGGTCTTCTTAACGGCTTTGTAATTCTCTGATTTAAAAAATTTGAGAAAGTTTATTAAGAATTTTTTCCTCAGCATTCACCAGCCATTTTATAAAACAAAACAAATTATTGTAGCCTCAAAACATCTCAAAAAAGTCTATTTACCAGGAAAGCTCATGAGTAGCCTTACAGAGATAGCATAGAACCAGGAAACCTTTGACATTGCAAATGCCGTGAAACGCCAACAAACAAGATAATCACACTAAGATCAAGGGGAAGGAAATAGATTAAAAACATACAGAATTTATTTATCTCATTATGTCAATGTGCTCAGAGAGGGGTGATTTTGTTGGGTGAAGACAATTCTCTTAGAGTGAAGCTCTTCTCCAAGAGTATGTGAGCACTTTGATTATTTGCTAAACATGTGGTGTCTCAACTTTAAGACAAAGATTTAAAACTGTGAATTGGGGACTAATTGTTTGCATTACAAGACTTCATCTAGGGCTTTTATTTTTTTTTTATTTTGGCTTATTATGGGGGTACAAGTGTTAAGGTGTACTATATTGCCCATGCCCCCCTCCCCCTCGAGCAAGAGCTTCAAGCGTGTCCATCCCCCAAATGTTGCATCATTACTCATTGTGGTTGTATATCTATCCCTTCCTCCCCCTCCCACCCTACCGACACCCGATAAATGTTACTCCTATATGTCCACTTAGGTGTTGATCCATTAATACCAATTGCTGGTGAGTACATGTTTTTCCATTCTTGAGATACTTCACTAGTAGAATGGGTCCAGCTTATACAGGAATATCAAGAGGTGCTACATCACCGTGTTTCTGAAAGCTGATATGTATTCCATGGTATACATATACCACATTTTATTAATCCACTCATGATGATGGGCACTTGGGTTGTTTCCACAGCTTTGCAATGTGAATTTTGTGCTGCTATAACATTCGAGTGCAGGTCTTTTTCATAAAGTGACTTTTGATCTTTTGGTAGATGCCCAGTAGTGGAATTGCTGGATCAAATGGTAGATCTACTCGTATCGCTTTGAGGTTCTCCATATGCTTTCCACAGAGGTTGAACTAGTTTGCAGTCCACCAGCAGTTAGGAGTTGTCCTCTTCTCTCACATCCACACCAGCATTTTTGTGGGGGACTTTTTGATAAAGGCCATTCTCACTGGAGTATAGTGATATCTCATTGTGGTTTTGATTTGCATTTCCATCTAGGGTTTATTATCTTGGGTGTGCTTTGGAGACAGATAATAGATAGATGGATGGATATATTAAACATTTTGGAAGATAAGAATAAGGGAGAAAAAAGCACTCATAAACTATTATAACTACTCTAAGATGGCCACTGTAAATATTTTCTTTATATACAATCTATTTTCTATGAAGAATATTTTTAAAAAATTATTGTGAATATAATGTATACATGCTATATACACATATAATGTGCATATATGTCTATGTACATATTCTATTTCTTTTTCTTTTACATGTTACCATAAGTACTTTTCAATCCTATTTTTTTAGAATTATGTGTCTTATAATTTACATAACAATTTTTCATTCAACACCCTTTTCCCTAATCCAGTCATGACACGACATGTAGGTAGTTCACATTTTTTGTTCTTAGATATAATGCTAGGATACATATATTTATTCAAAGATTTCTTTCCTGCATGTTGAATTATGCCTTGAGGATAGATTCCTAGAAGTGTAATTACTGGGTCAAAGGATATGACTATACTTATGATTCCAGATACATGTGACCAAATAGATCTCTGAGAGTCATGATAATAGACACAGTAGGACCCAATCTCACTGCATTTCACCAAATGTTATTTAAATGTCAGCTTCCATAGTGGATATAAGTGTTGGTTCAAAGATCTTATAACAACTTGGCAGAGAGGCTGACAGAGGTGGGAAAAGATAAAAAGAATAAGGGAAAAGATACAACTCAAGTGCAGCATTAGAACTGGAAGTCATTGACAACTGACAATTGGTTAGAAATTAATAAAGCATTTCCGAAACGCACATCAATGTAATAGCAGTCCTTGGTTTACTAAAGTGGATACTGCAAAGAAATAAATGATTCAGCGTAGACTGGGTGATAGGAATCAACTCTGCCACTCATTTGCCAGTTGGTCTTTGCAAATCATTTCCTTCTCTGGATCTTTCTGAACTGTAGAACTGGTTAAGTTGAAAGACGAGGATAGGGGCTTTCAGAATTTAGAGTATGTCTTCAGATAATGAAGACAAACTCCTAAAGTTATAGGGTCCGGTCCTTGGTTCTTCTTTAGACACCTTGAGTTACAACTCTGACGAAATCCACAGTTCTACTGGAGTTGTGCAGTGAAATAGCAGACACTCTAGGAATCTCTCGGGGCTCTCTCAGCTTCAGCAATGAATCTTCAAGTTCTGTATGTTTCATGTGAACTGATGGCAAGAGCTGTGAGGGCCTTGTTTACACGGAGGGTTTCCACAGGGAAGTGTTCAATATGCAGATTGATGAGATGGCTTGAGTCATCTATCCCCATGACGACATTTGCCCTTGGTGCCTCCCTAGTGTTTTTCTGAGAGTTTTTTATCTGGATGATGGCATACAGAAATGAACTAAATTGCTTCCAATTTAGTAAACTAAAAGAATAAATGAAGTGACCCCATTTCCTTGACTCTATTCTAGGAAATGATTAAGTGGGAAGCAGGACCTCTCAGATTTCAAGGGAGGCCCAGGTCACTTTTTGGAGGTTTCTAGTATTGGGGAAAAAAAATAACAATATACCCACCTTAACATATATATATATATATATTTTTTTTTCAGCTAATAGACTTTATTTTTAAGAGGTTTAGATTAACAGAAAAATTATGAGGATAGACAGAGAATAATCTTGTATCTGGTTTCTCCTATTATTAACACCATACATTTGTAACATCCATCATTGATTAAGATTTACTTTATATTACCTTATATCTTTTTCTGTATTATGATTCCATCCAGGCATCTATATTATATTGTTGTGTTTCCTAAGGCAACCTTTGGCTGTGATGGTTTCTCAGACTTTCCTTGTTTTTGATGATCCTCATGGTTTTGAGGATTATTGAATTATTGGTTTTTTGGAGGATTCCCCTCTACCAGAATTTGTCTCATGTTTTTCTTATGATTGGACTAGAGTTGTGGGAGTGAGACTACAGAGATAAAGAACCATTTTCATCACATTCTATCAAGGGTACACACTATCGACATGATTTATCTTTGTTGATGTTGACCTTGATCACCTGGCTGAGAGAGTGTTTGTTGGGCTTTTCCATGTTAAGTTACCCTCCCCTACCCCATTTCCATACTGTGCTCTTTGGAAGGAAGTTACTCTGTGCAGCCCACACTGACAGAGTGGAGATTTATGCTCCCCTTCTTTGAGGGCCACATATCTACATAAATTATTTTGAATTCTTCTGTATAGGCTATTTGTCCTCTTCTCCCCCATTTGTTAATTTGCTTAACTATTTATGTCAGTATGGACTCATTAATATTTATTTTATACTTTTGTTTATAATGCAAAATACTATTCTATTTGGTTGCTCAAACTGTTTCAGCTTTGGCCATAGCAGTTCTTCAGGTGGCCTCTGTGTCTTTTTGAAATATCCCCCATCAATGTAGTTTTGTTTTGTTTTCAAGTAATTACTTACTTTATGGAGCTGCAAGATGTTCCATTCTCATTTTGTGTATTTCCTGCCCCTGGTCCTAGACTCAACCATTTCTCCAAGGAGCCTTGGTTCCTGTTCCTGGGAAATGGTATTAGAAACCAACATCTGGGCACTAGATGTGCTGCTTGCTCCTTGTCATTGCTTCTTGGCTAAATATATTTTAAACCTTACATTGTAACACCGAAATACACACAATTAAAACACAATTGCATAATTTGTAAAACAATTATAGATTAAAAATATTAAAATCACAATACCATAGGAGCCTGCGGGCCTACACTGGGTCTTCTTTCAATCGTGCCAGGGTACTGCTAAGATTGAGGTATGACGCCAGTAGAGATAATGTCAAAAGTCTCAATTTGAGAACTTCTCTGAATGCCGAGGCCACAGCAAATGACTCTTTTGCAGGGCTGCTCACCCAGTACCCTCTTTCCATAATAAGCCATAAAAAGCATCGTGAATTTAGAACTAGGGCATAAGAATTCTGGACCTAGTTCTGTGAGCGATACTGTATATGTGGCAAATGGATTCTGTCTGGGCTTCAATTTTCAATGATATAAAATCAGGAGCTATGGATTGGATAATGGCTAAGGACTCTCCCAGTTCTGGCATATTGTAACTCTCAATAGTTTTACACTGAGAAAATGTAATTGGCTCCACCCATTTTGTACATAGGCTCAATATTCCAGAAAGTCTAAGCCAGTGAGTGAATGAGAAGGTCACTGTTAGTAAATAACAAGTCATTTTATTATTTTCTGAGCATGCAGACATCTGTTAAAGGCCTTAGATTGTCTAGACAATCAAGTTTTAGAAACTTTAGATCTTCTCTTTTAAAGATTGGAGATCAAGAAAACATAAGAAATATTGATGGAAAGTATCTCTTTCATTGCTTTCAAAGTTTGTTCTGATAGATAAAGACTTCTCTTTCTCTCTCTCTCTCTCTTTTTTTTTGGTAAAGGCAAACCCTCATTTGTTATTTTCTCTGACTTGAAATAATTACCTTTAATGGAATGATGGCTGCATTACCTCTAAACTTATTACCAGGAATCTCTCTCTAGATTTTTCTTATCTTTCTGTGTGTGTGTGTGTGTGTGTGTGTGTGTGCATGTGTGGATGTGAATGTTATGACACATTTTTCACACCCACATGCAGCCCAGTGGTTTAAAGACTACCCAGTGTACAAAGATCATCTCCTTCCTATCATTGACTGGGACCTCTTCCAAAACCAAACAGAAAAAAAACCCCAAAAAACTATAGGGCATAAAAGACACTCAGGAACTGTCAAGTCTTATGATCGATGCTGGAGATCAAAAGTACAAGGTCTTAGAACCTGCCTCCTCCAGCAACTCTTAACATTTAAAATCTTCAATTGGCTTTTGGACCCACTCAGCATAATCCCAGACTTTGGTCTACAATTGGTTAAAAATTGATAGAGGTGAGGATTCCCGACTGCCTTCTTTACCTATAAGTTTACATTTTAACCCCTTCCCTCAGCCCAGGCACACATACACACACACAGCTCCTTTCCATCTCCCCCACCTGCAAGTTAAGTAAATGTGTATATATATGTAAAGGTATAGAGCAGTCAGGCAGCCTGCCCATCCTCGGGGTTACTCCTTCACACCGATGAGGGAACGCAATCTTCACAAGTGGCTTTGCTCAATGTCCCATAAGGAGTTCCAGGCAGAGCTGTAATTAGAAACCAAGGTTTTTTTGGCAACAAATCCAGTTTTTTTCTTCTCCCTACGCCGTGCCCCTGCGGAGTTACATTTTTGTGCGTGTGTCTCTGTATGTACATAGGTTACACAGACACTGACATGTAGGAAACATGCACCAAGTGTCTGTCGTCTGACCTCAGGGAACAGTTTAATGACTCGGATTTCAGGCAGCTAAAGGGTTTCTGCGGGTGGAGGTTGAAATAAACAAGAAAAGCCACTGTGGAGATGTGAATGGAAAAGTACCAAGCCCTCCCTCCCTCCGCACATTCTTCCGCTCTCCAGCTCTCCCTGCCGTCAAGCCGGCTTCAGATAGGCTTCTGCATGGTCAGGTGTACAGAGGGCGGTGTGGAGAAGAAAGAAAAAAAAATGCAGGCACAACACGCAAATCAAGTTTTTCCACTTCTAGCCTTAGGTAGCAGACACAGCGAAGTACAGCAGCCAGCAGCCTGACGGGAGGGTGGGCCAGCCACCCTGAGTTTACAAACACTCAAGTGCTTTCCTCCTCTTATCCCTCTCATAGCCCAGCTGCTGCTTTTCCTCATGCTAAGGTTTTATAGGAAGTGAAAACCCTGCTATTCAAAACAGTGATTGAATGCAATAAACAAACGATTGTGTACCCCACCCCCACCACGTCTCTATTTTAAGCACCTGATATTTATTGCCATTTGAAATAAGTGTGGAAAATCAGTGTTTTGGGGAAAACTCTAAATCAGGCTGAAAAGTTTTCTAAAGGAAAAAAAATATCAGAATAATAAAGGCTAAAAAGGCAGCATATGGATCAAAATTAAGTAATGATACTTCCTTTTTAGAAGGTGGTGGCTAGAAACCATCTTTTTAAAAATGTCTCAAAACTTTCTGCTCAGTTTTGTTAAAACATATGAAGAAACCCCTTCCTTTCTCCAAGGGTATTATAGAGAGCTTGTTTACAATAGTTCCAAATGAAGGATATGAAATAAAATGGATAGGCAAATTTTAACACGTCAGATAGATAACATCTCCCATACCCGTTAAAAGCAATGCCAAGTACTACAGCATAGGTGACAAGCATAAACAAACCCAAATGACCATCAACACTCATGTGCTCATCATGACTTGGAGTTCCGTCTGAGAACCAGTTTACAGCTTTCACAGAACCCAAAGCAGCCTTGCTTTCCTCAGTTCTGCAAGAAAACAAGATACCACCTCCAAACCCAAGTTGTCAGGTTGCCCTGATCCTCTAAAATGACACAAGACCATCAAACCATACAAATCCATTTTCGGTTGTGTTCCCGGGATCACACACGCTTCCCATGAGGGGCCAGCCTGTGCTCTTGAAAGAAGAAAGCCTGGAGGAGTTGACAGATTAATCTGCAAAATTCCTTCCAGTTCTGAAGTCTATAATCTATGATGTGATAGTTTAAAAAACCTATTAAACTATCAGAGGTTGCTGACAGGTGAAACTCACTTCCTGTTTTGAGCCCCCTTAGAAAGAGGACAGAACAGTGTTTATACCAAGGATAGATTCCTTTTCAGCTATGGCTGAATCGTGGGCAGTTTTTTCGAGGGGAACTGGATGTGAAATCTGTTCCTTTCCTTAAATAGATGGTAATATTAGCAGCCGGCTATTTTATTTTGTAATAAAGCTTATATTTACTTAGCAGCTGTGATCAGAAACCTATGCCTACGCCCAGTCCATGGGGCAAAGAGGCTGACCTGGTCCTTTATTCTGAGTATTAACAACCAGTAACCATTAAATCATGGGACCACTTGATAACGTAGTACCTCCAGGTCTACAGCAATTGTTTGGAAGACCTCAGCTATGGAACCTCTCTTTAGAGCTTCTTAAGGATGATTAAAAAAAAATTGAATATATTCAAGCCAGCCCTTTCTCTAATCCTATAACATAGCACCACTGGAGTGAGGGAGGTCCACATACTGATGCCACCTGGATACTGAAGGGTAGAGATCAAGAATGAGACAAGGAAGGACATTCTGGAAGAAATGTAATTAGTATAAAATTTGATAAAGTTACTTTCCTAGGAACTGAAAAGAGATTGAGAGGTGAGTGTACAATTTTCCTCACCATTCATTCAGTTGAAAGAAAGAGAAACTCACCTAAAATAAAGTGTCTATCTTTAGAATGTTTTCAATAATCCTTTTTTCCCCTCTCTTTCTTTCTAACGGGTCTCCTGTTCTGGTCAATTTCTTTCAATGTAAACACACTGATTTGGCAAAAAGCAGAAGTAGAAATGTGGGGCTCTGGCACTTGGTCCCACAAATAATGTGCTGAGAAGGTTTGAGGTCTCTGGTGATGGGGTTAATTATCTATAAAGCGGGCCTGGTGGGTTCCCCCTCCAGGGGCTTGGAGCAGTGAATTTAAGAGGGCTGGGGTATGAGAAGGGTGAATTTCTTCCCAGCCCCCACTCTGGCTGTTTCTACTGACTTAGGGAGATTTCCCTTTGCTCTGCAGCGCCCCCATGGGGCTAAGAGTGGAGTGGCAAAGGGAACTCAGGAGGGACAAGCTGTTGTGTTTAGGATGGGGGGGGGGCGTTGATAAGGCAGGTTGGAAGCTTTGACCAAAAAAAAATGACCAAAAACTATAAAAGTCAACCTATCGTAGGACCAATTATGGGGCAGAGCCATAACATTCACATTCTGAACCATATAGATATATCTGAGAAACCCTAAAGTGCTAATTGCCTATAAAAGAAAAAAATCACACATATAAATACAAAAAAATCACTTCAGTAAAAATCGGGGTGTCATTTTGAATCCAGTGGGATTCATTTAAAACTCCTTAAAAATGAGGGGGAAGAGGACTCAAATAAAAAAGCAAATTGTCTTGCTTTCTGGCAGAATAAATCCGAACTTGACAGTATCATGTGTCTTTGGGGGTAAGATGTTCATTTCAACCTCAGTGACAGGATTAGGCCTATGTATATTTTTCAAAATTTCTTCACAAGATAGGCTTTTCTGCAGAGGCTGCAGTAATCCATCTGTCAATATGTATTAAAATATTCAGATTTCACAGGGACAGACACTTAGGCAGATTTCCTAAGCTCCAGCCCGTGTGGAAAATAATCAACCCCTTTGCACCTTCACTGGTTCTAAAATCTATAAAACAGCCTTTAAAAAGGGGTGGGAGGTTCATCAACCACAGCATCTTCAGCAATAAATGAAACTTCTTATGGGACTGTCAGTGAAAGAGACCCCAAATATCCCAGTAAACAGCCAGCAATCTTTCATAGGTCTGCTCACCTCTCTATTATAAACTCAAATTTGGGGTTCGGATAGGTAGATTATTTGGGGAGATATATTTATTAGAAATTAGTATGTGAAGCAAGTTTGCGGAATCTTTAAGAATTCATCTGTAATTTAATGAGTCACTTGAAGGACTCTCATAGCCAAGGCTCAGAACAGCCTGACCTTTGAAAGCTGCATCTGGTCCAAACATTTTGGGTTAATTCTTGAGGAATCCGAAATATTATTTTCCCCTCACACCCTTCTTTTAAGAGAGAGACATAAAAGAAACAAGAGTCTCCCTCATTCAGGGATGAGTAGGAGGGGAAAAAACCCCAACCAACATTTAAATAGGGAAACTGGCAGTTTTGAACAAACAAACTAGGGCCCACAATGAGATGATTCTGCACGGCATTTGCCTTTAAAAGAAAGAAAGAAAGAAGAAAGAAAGAAGAAGAAAAGAAAGAAAGAAAGAAAGAAGAAGAAAAGAAAGAAAAGAGGAAAGATTTCCCCTCCTCCTCCTCCCCCCAACTCTGCTCCTAGAGTAAGAGGTTGTGCTGCGTGCAGTACGTTTGTAGTTGTAGCAAGTCTGTTCTAAATACACGCAGTATCTGTGCATACTGGCACGGCAGGCCTTTAGAATTCTCTCCGGCTGATCTCTTAAACGCAAACTGAAGAGATTTTTTTACAACGACCTTGAAATGAGCCTGGAAAAAAAAAATATCAAGACCTTAAGAAAAAGCAACACACAAACAGTATTTGCTCACAGATTCTGTAGAACATACACGTACACATACCCAAGCACGCACCATACGCTTCCTGCAAAAGAAATTCCTAAGAGTCACAATAACAGAAAGAGTAAACCCACCACTTGCTGTCCTGGAAGAAACAAACCAACCAAAACAAGTCCTTTGCACATTTCTTCTCAAGTGCAGGAGAAACTCACTTCAGTACAAGTCCAACTGGGAAAAAGAAAATTGCACCAAAGGGGAAAAAAAAAAAGTGAGGGTTCGGATTGTTAAATACGACCAAAATTCAAGCTTCTTTCAAAGTAATAGTATTGAAATGATACATCTTTTTAAAATTCTTGAGAAAGGAGGAAAGAAAGAAAACACACACACAAATCCCAACCGATGCCGGTCCTACCTTTACGTAACAACACAAACTTGCAAAAGGCCAAAAAATCAGAAGCAAAATCCGAAAATCATCAAATACGGCAACCCCAATCCCAAGTCACACACCAAAAAGAATAAAAGCCAGACAAAAACAAAAGCAAAACCCCTGTCCCAATAAAAATAAAGCAAATGAACCCACCGAAAACTGCTTGGCCAAATATTTTTCTCGTGGTGCCTAATATTCTAGCTGGAAAGAGCTGGTGGTTTATTGTTTTTTTTCTCTTATCGCCTCTCTAAACTACTATATATACCGTACTTTTCCAGTGGTTCCAAACCTCTCGCTCCCTTTTGTGCATTCGCTCGAGGCTGAGTTTATGGTAAGAGAGGAGGAATTAGCCCCAGACCCCGCGGGAAAGCAAAGCGCACTCCCTCTTATGTCACCGAATAGCAAATTAGTTCTCAGAATTCCAGAGGCGAGCTTTGCTACAGCAAAGTCGCCGACGTCCACAGAGGAGGCGCCCACGTGACGGTTGGGCGGAGAGGCCGTTACATCGTCCCGGGCCCGGGGAGGGGGCCGCCTTCGGGCCCCTCGAACCCGACCCGGAACCGCGAAATCCGGACGCCCAGCCCGTGAGGA